GGTTTCTGGTGGTCCTTGGGAGGTTTTTGGGAGTCCTCAGACATTCCTGGGGGTTGCTGTGGTTACTGGGCTATACTGGGATGTACTGGGCTATACTGGGATGTACTGGTGCCATCAACGGCTTCCAAAAACAATTCCCCAAAATAACGGGGTGTCCCCCCCCCCCCCAGGCCTGGTGCCCCCCCCGTTCGTGCCGGACCCTCGCCGCGTCTACGCCAAGGACCTGGCGGACGTGGGGGCCTTCTCCACGGTGAAGGGGGTGGAGCTGGACGGGGGGGACGCGGCGCTGTGCGACGCCTTCGCCTCGGGGACCGTCCCCATCCCCTGGCAGGAGGAGCTGATCGAGACCGGAGTCTTCGAGGAGCTCAACGTTTGGGGGGCCCCGGGGACGCTGCCCCCCGATCTGGACCCCAACGCGGCCGGGGGAGCCGGGGGGGGCAAATCCTCCACGTGTAGGTTGTTGTGAGAGAGGGGGTGGGTGGGTGGAGGGGGGGGATTACACCCCCAAATTTTGGGGGAACGGTTGTTGTGAGTGGGATTACACCCCGAAATTTTGGGGGGATGGTTGTTGTGAGTGGGATTGCACCCCGAAATTTTGGGGGGGAATGGTTGTTGTGAATGGGATCGCACCCCGAAATTTTGGGGAGGACGGTTGTTGTGAGTGGGATTACACCCCGAAATTTTGGGGGGAACGGTGTTGTGAGTGGGATTACACCCCGAAATTTTGGGGGGAATTGTTGTTGTGAATGGGATCGCACCCCGAAATTTTGGGGAGGACGGTTGTTGTGAGTGGGATTACACCCCGAAATTTTGGGGGGAACGGTTGTTGTGAGTGGGATTGCACCCCAAAATTTTGGGGGGATGGTTGTTGTGAGTGGGATTGCACCCCCAAATTTTGGGGGGATGGTTGTTGTGAATGGGATCGCACCCCGAAATTTTGGGGAGGACGGTTGTTGTGAGTGGGATTGCACCCCGAAATTTTGGGGAGAACGGTTGTTGTGAATGGGATTGCACCCCAAAATTTTGGGGGGATGGTTGTTGTGAATGGGATTGCACCCCAAAATTTTGGGGTATCCAAAAGATGTGAGGGGCTTTAAAAGTGGGGGGACCCCTCCTTGGGATATGGGGGGGCTCCAAAAATTGGGGGGATTCTGCCCTGGGGTGGGGGGAGGGCTCCAAAAATTGGGGTCCTGCCCCCCCACAAGGGTCTGAATTGGGGTCCCCCCCCC